TGACGTAGACCCCCCCGCGCCTCGGGTTCCCCTCGCCCCTCACCCCCCCTCAGAGGACCATGGCTTTGAACCGGCCTATACACTCTACTATCACTTAATAACAAATTCATCTTAGAAATATAATCCTCTCTATCCATAGCTACTGTGACGTTTCCTTTATCTGCATGAGTAAAAATAATATTGTCATGTTATGAAAAAAATTCTACAGTGTCAGATTCTAGTTTCAATATGGTTTTATCTGTCAAAGATGTAAAACATGATGATGTGATAATATTGTTAAGTATAGGAATAGAGTGATTGGTTACTGTCATTTTTTTGTTTATAGGCATTTTAAAAGTACTGCTCTCTATATTTTTTATACAATCAAAAATAATCCTACTTTTTTTATTAAAAGGAAGAGCAAAATTTTCTCCCAATTGTAAAAAGCATTGTATGTTGTACGGAATGTCAACCGACGACAGATTGGTAAACCACTTATCTCTGACCGTGGATAAAGAAGAGCTGTTGTGTGAAGGAAGATCATTGGGAGAGATGACAATCATAGATGAAAATGAGGAAGATTTCAAAGAAATGTGAGGCTGATATTGTATAGGTTTTGTGATTACGTGGACTTGTTTTTCTTTATTTTGTGATAGCCAAGAAAATTTTGAATTCAATCTTTTTTCCTCTTTTCTGAAAAAATTCATACATGATCTTTCTTGTGTTTTAAGGAAATCGTCACAGATTTTTAAAGGAAGACAGCCTGACAATATGCTTACTATATGGAACAACATTATTTTGTAGTGTTGGATTTCTCTATATGCATCACTGAGTTCGATATGCAAAATTCTTCGAACGGAAAATTCTTTGCAGTGTGAAAATTTCTTGTTAGAACTCGGATTAAAAAATTTTTTATTTAGGTTGCTTAAAACATGTAAATGTTGAGGAACAATGTTATTTTTAATACACTGTTTAATGAATTTGCTATGCAAGTAAGTCAAAATAATCTTTCTGTACCTGGCTGACTGTACCATTTATTCCTTCAAAAACAGAAAAATTTAAACGTTTTAATAATAATGACATCAGAGTATCGTTCCATAGTCCTAATAAAATGCGAAAATACATTAAGGTTCAGAAAGATACACGTCCACATACTTCTAGAAACAATGTAGTGTATAAAATACAGTGCAACGATTGTGATGCTTCGTATGTTGGACAGACGAGCAGACAATTGAAAACTAGAATTACTGAACATCGTAATCACATTAGACATAACACTTCTACCCGTTCTGTTAAACGTTCTGTATAACTGAGCATAGACTTAAGTATGGTCATGATTTTCAATGGGACAACATAAAAATCTTGGATGAAGAACCTTGTTATAGAAAACGCTTAATATCTGAAATGCTTCATATTAAAAGACAAAAAAATAGTCTTAACTTACAAACAGATACTGAAGGTCTTCATGACGCGTATGTACCCATTATAAATAAAGTTTGACTTTATAATTGTTGTTCTTGCTCAGTCTACATCTGTCTCTTAACGTTATTAGTCGATCGACATAATGTCTGCAATGTTAAACTTTTTAATTTTTATTTATTATAATTTATCGGATTGATGTAACAGCAATGTCGACACACTGAATTAACATATTACCGTGAATTTCCTGGTGAGTGTCTTGCAGAATTTTGACATAATTTGTTTTAACATCTATATAGAAAGTTTGTTACCATCTTTTCAGATATTTGAATTATACATTGACTTTTCAATCATGTATAATTGTAATGTCTTTTTTCTGTTGGAGACCCACGGTAGTAGAATGAAGTCCGTACTATGTAATTTCTGCGAATGATTTTGTCCACTGTTTTTTTTAACGTCTGAGGAGGGCTCAAACCTAGAGCCGAAACTTGTAGCAATATGTAATTAAATTTAAATTTTTTTATATTTATATATTTTTTATTTTATATTGTTATACTTAGTTTTATATTTATATAATTTCAAAAATTTTTATTAAATGTACTGACAGTTGAGTATTATTTTTAAATGATAATTTATTGTTTGACTCTTATATCGCCCTTTCTATTTTATGTTGATTATTTTTATTGAGAGTCCTTGCTTATTTTCATCTTACCATGAAAAGTAACTGATATATTATTAAAGGCGCCAGTTCAAAGTGAACATATAAAAAGAGTGTATATTCAAATTTAATAATCAAAATGAACATACATAGATACATATATATAATAAGTAAAGCATTACAATTTGCAGATTACAATTTTCTAGAAAATAATTGCGATATGTTATGCTTAGTGCACAAAATATAAAAGTAGTTTATTAAGATTTGAATTCAAAAAACTGATGAATTTTTCGCGGTTCACTTAAAAATAATATCCAAGCTTGTATCGAAGAGTAGTTATTAATAATTATTAATACGACACTTGAAGTACAAAAAGTATTACATTTAAATAATAATATTAGATTATAATAAAATAAGGATCCACCGTATTTTTAAGAGCTCCATAACGATAACGATGTGATTTAATCTAAACCATTTTCATAATTTTCATTTTAATCATTTATTCCATCCATCGAAATTCTTTTGAGAACAGACCGCTTGTTCTTTTTCCGAGTCGTTAACAGATTGGTACTCTGGAATTACAAGCAATTATTTTTCATTGTACTGGCTAGTATAACGTTTTATATTTTACGACTCAAGACTTATTGCACCTATTTTATTTAAAAAATTATGTTACCTACCTTTAGAGCATTTATAGTATTATTTCTTACCAAATTTTTACTTTCTGATAATTGTAATTGAGACTTCAAAATAATAATATTATTTTCTAAGCGTTTGTTTCGCTTCAGTAAAAGTTTGTTCAAATATTTGTAATAATTAAGGCCTTTAGCTAATTTCATCCATGATCGATTCGTAACGAACTCGGTTCTTGTAAGACATTCTGTCGTATATTTCCCAGTCTTTATAAACATCTTCATTTTGTTCGATTGTTTACTGAAACATGTATATTTATAATATTTATAAGCCAGTAAATTATAAGCCAATAAATTAGAATGTATGTGGGTGGTTTAAGTCAAACCGGGACATTTATTCTCATGTACATAAGAATAAGGCCTGATTGCATCAACGTGATTTCGATTTTAAGCGAAACTTAAACTGTCTCTGTCTCTGTTTCCCTTTCGGCTTTAAAACGAGATAGATAGAGTTTTAAGTCTCGCTTAAAATAAAAATGTGTTGGTGCAACCGGGCCTAAAAGTTCCAGTTTGACTTGAACCACCCACGTATATTTATTTTGTGTTTTACCTTTGTCGGCTAGTATCAAATGTTGATTTACTAGGAACTGTATGATGTTGGAGAAGATCCATTGAAGATTCATGTTGAATGTCCATTGAAGATTCACGGTGGATGTCCATGACTGAATCATTTTTATTATGTTGCATTTCAATTATTGAATACTCTTTCGTATTATCGTCTGATCTGTTGTATAACAAACATATTTAAAAAACACTTTTTAAATCAGATGTATTTATTAAATATCATATAGTATTTTATATGATATTTAACTATTCTTAATTAATATTATTACGTTTGTGTGAAAATAGACGGAATTACAGTTTTCTTCAATCTTTTGGAAGGATTTTGAAAGCGTATATCACAAATATAATAATCATTTTCTGTGAAATGATCACTGCAAATTCTTTTATTCTCGTAAGCATTGACAGTATAACCAATGCTACGAAACCATTTTTCTCGTCTTTCAATATTTCCTGGGAATCTAAAAATACATTGCATTAGTATTATAAACTAAAGTATTATAAATTTTAGCTTGTAAATTTAAAGCCTTACTTGTGAAATTGTCGTGAGAACAAAGGATAATAACTTTCCCGACATACACAACACTGAGTCATCCTACGCAGTCTATAAAATTATAATTATCATTTTGATTTTAAACATAACATAAATCTCATGTTTAACGAACAATACGTACTTTTATACTTACAACACAAAAAGCATATTTAACAAAGAATACGTACCATTTTAAGTCTAAGATCTAACCGGGCCACGACATGCGTCGTACTTCGTCTTCTTCTTCTAAATTATAAATAACCTCGCTGGCGAGAGTCACGACGATTCCGTTACTGTTATTTTCTCCCATCACCTCTTTCGATCCCCTCTCTCTAGTAGACGCATGCGCGAAACGAGAGAGAGAACGCAGATACCAAAATCAGTACGTCCTTTTCTACGCAGGGTCTACCCCCACTCCTCGAATGCCCAGTCTAGTAATACTATGTCTATGGATAAAACCGCCATTGTTTTTTTGTTCCGCTACTTGCTGCACCACTTGACAGCTTCTCGGATGCAACTATCCGTATAAATCAATCTCGCAGGTTTTTCCATTTCCTTTTTGCATCTTCAGATAAATATTTTCCTGCAATAATAACATGATAATAATTTGTATAATACTGTCTTGAAAATATTGTTCAATTACAACATTTGTTTGTATTGGCGATTACCATTTGTTGCTTTACTAACTTCTTCCCACAACTCTTCTATCGTTCTTCGATCTCGCTTTGCTATAGAAATGCGTTGATTCCATGGCAAATGCACCTCAGTGATAAGTATTTCATCTACATTAGTTTTTTGTAGTGACTGTGCAGGTTTGTGAACCTGATGAATAGTTATGGGAAGCGGTGCGCTGTCCACTACTATTGCCTCTACCCCATTTACGTCACTCCGACGGACGATTTCTCTATTACCTGTGCAGCAATGGATCATTACAATAGTAAAAAATATATTAATTTAGAAATTCATTCATTTATTTATTTCTCACACACACGCGCACACACACACACACACACACACACATTCTGTCACTTACTACATCTAGGATAAAAATAATTGTTGTTGTCTACAACGACGTTTTCGTAGCTTTCTATACATGGATGTGTGCGCACTGCATCAAAATTATTGCATATTTCTTCGCATATGCCACATATGTATACATGCTGCAATACAAGCAATATCAGTTGCTATTAGAAGCGATGCAAATAACAGTAACAAAACATGCAGCTTGTTCATATTGAGTGTTTAGAGGAAGTTAGGTTGTTACAAGCTCAAACTTTCTCCAGCGATCTGGGAAGCCTTGTCGTGGCACTGGGGCTCACCCGGGCCCTCTTCGGAGGAACTGGATGCTAATATCCCAGAGTACGGAGTCTCCCGTTAAATAGGAAGACTGTACGATCGGGTCCGGTACCCCAAGGGTGCTTTGCTCCCGCAGTGCAGCGCCCTTTTTAGGGCCCGGCTGCGGGAGGGAGTACCTGGGTGATCCGTCTTTCGTAGGCGAAGATCCAATGTGCCGGTAGGTAGGAGAAGGCGACTCCGACTTCAAACGCCCGGTGACCAGGGGCCGATAGAGGGATAGAGATTCCCTACTCTGGGAGGGTGGCTGTTCGCGGGCCATCCGTCGCCCATTCCCCGGAGCCCGCGCCCGTCCCGTCGGGGACGGGGCGGTCTCTGGGGCATGGAGGACGGGGAACAGGCGGGGGTGCTTTCCCCAGGCGGGGACGCCCGCGACTGGGTGCTCCTGGCCGCGGAATGTCCCCATGCCACGGGAGTCCTTTTCAAGACTCCCTCATTGCACGATGATTAGGGGAGACGATTCCGGTTCTCGTCTCTCAACGCTCGGGGGCCCAGGGGGCCGTTGGCTGCGGCTGACGGTGCACCCGGGTTCTCGGCTGGACGGGCTTCATGCCTGGGTCCCAATGTGCGTCGGCCGCCGGCGTAGGCTGGGGCCGGAAACATGGGGATGGAGGACTGACGAACGAACGAACAGTGGACTGAGACTAGGACAGACTTACGGATCTACCGACGTACTTACCTACGGATGGACGGGATGGCATTGGAGGCTCGCCAAGGTTGCTATTGCTCCTGAGGATGACTCCGATGACCTGGAAAGAAAAGATGACAGGAATCACCCCCCGTTAACACGGGTCCATTTCCCTGCCACCGTTATTGGACGACTAACAGAGAATGAGGAGAATAGGACAATGGGGATCATCCCCGCTATGCGGATCCATCACTCCATCGTATCCATGAACAGAAGAAGACCAATGTCCCGGGCGAACAACGACCCACAGATGGATTTTTACTCGAAGGAAAACGTAACCCGGCGCTGGTGGACCGCTTGTAAAATAGTCCACTAAACATGAAGAAATTTTAAACATGAAGAATGGAGAATAAAAAAGAGAAAAACGTCCTGGTTCGGATCCAGGACACCGGTGAGATGGGAGGTATTGTCCCAGCTTCCCGCTCGTCGTTATCAAGCGCTGGGCCAGCCGTTATCTGCACCGCAGGGGTAACGGCGGAAAAAGCATCTGCGAAGCCCCAGGGTCCGGAGTCGAGAAGAGCTCCACACCTGCTTCCCATCGGATAGGCGGAGGAAACCCGGGTGATGAGGAAGAAGAGACGACGAGGAGGACGTTAAACCAGTCCGACTCCTACATAGAGGATACTACGACGAGGAATGAGTCTGACCAACTCGACTCATTGATAGAGGAAGACTTTGAGAGCCTAACTGACTATAGCGAGGAAGAGGAATCTGGTTCTTTCTTTAGAAAGCCGGGCCCAAAGTCAAAGACTAGGGTAATAAGAAAGACCAGAAACTCCCAGAAAAGGAGAATAATATCCTCTGATAACGGAGAGGAAGATCTAAGCGAACCCCCCGGTAAATTCGCGTTAGTCGAACAGAAGCAACCTATAATGGCCAAGAAGAGGGGACGTCCCCCGAAGCAGTCATATCTAACTCAGAAAGGAGATAAACTTTCGCAGGCAGAAAAATATATCTCTACAAGAGAAGCGCTTAGGAAAGTTAACGAGGAAGAGTATAGACGCTTACAACTTAAACGTGAGGAAATAATCAGACAGCTTACGTATAAAGGCCTACTTAAAGGCAAGAGAAAGAAGCTAGACTCTGACAAATATCTTGAAGAAGTGGAGGATCAACCTAGCCACGAAATTACAGAGACGGCCAACCAGAGGCTACTGGAAGTTATTCGTATTGCCAAAACCTCTGGAAATCTCAAGGGGACCTACGTGGAGACTTTGCAGTTGATCGCCCAAACAATGATGATCGACCTGCAGGTCCTGCACGAGAGGGCAGAGAGCTCCCGAGATGAAACTACCTCGAGCGAGATAGTGTTACTTAAGAAAGAGATTGCAAGTATAAAGAAAAGGATGAATAACGAACTAGAACTAGAAAAGTCTCGAACTAAGACAGCAGAGGAACGAGCGAGTCAACTTGAAAAAGAGGTCTATCAACTTAAGAGATGTTTAGATAGGAAAAAACTGAAGGATAGCCACGATATTGATACCGGACGCAGAGAAGTCAATTCAAAAGAGAACATGACAGTCAAAGCTGGTTCGTCAAAGGATAATGACTTTATCGAGGAATCCATCACGAGGAAGAAGTCGCTGAGATCTAGCCGAACAGCGCAGAAGGAGACTGAAGATCCTAACCCTAGCAATTATCGGGAAATGGACATTAGTGAGGAAGAAACCATTGAAAAAGTGGTGCTTCCACCGGAAGAGGAATGGCCACCACTCCAAAATCTTCCTAGTAATAGAGGCAAGCCATCAATTATCAAAGATGTAATCTTAAGTGGGAGCCAAAAGCTTGAAATAGTAAACGGAAAGATACTCTCGGTTAAAGACAGAGAGGGAAATCAGAAAATGCCTAAACAAGCTATGAAGAAGAAGAAGAAGGGACAGCAGCAGGAGAAACAGAATGAGGACTCGAGTCAGAATCTTAAGGACCTGATTAGAGAAGTTATTAGAGAGGAGATAGGTGCTAAACAGGTCCCAAACAGCTCACAAAGTCGACGTGACCTCTCAGGATCAGGGAGAAAGGTCGCTTTTCCTACGCAAAAGGAAGGAAATAGAACTAGATCCAAATCCAGATCTAGGACATCACAATCGCAAGACAAAGGTGCGTGGACTACAGTTCTAGGTAGGAGAGAAAAACAGGCTAGCAGGCAGAAGTCTACGGACAGGCAACAAGGCAAGGGAGCACGATCAGGTCTAAACGTTAAGAACAAGGAAATGAAAAGAAGGAAATCTCCAAAGACGGCGGCAGTCCAGATCTTTCTGCAAGGTGACGCAAATGATAATAACAATAAGATCGCCTATGCAGAGACGCTCAGGCAAGCTAAAGAAAAGATAAACGTCGGTGAACTTGGTATCACTGAACTGCGGTCGAGGAAGGCCAAAACTGGGCCTTTCTGATTGAGATCCCGGGGCCGGAAAATGAAATGAAAGCGGATGCCCTGGCTAATAAACTCCAGGAAGTTTTCCAGGATAGTCAGGAGATTAAAATATCACGGCCGACAATCACGTCCAACTTAAGAATATCCTACCTCGACGACTCAATCACGACGACTGACATCTTATTCTGGATTTGTCACACGTATAATTGTAATCATGCGGACATCATCATAAACCCGATTTCTAGGGCAAGAAACAGAATGGGCACAACCCTAATCAAATGCCCAGTCAGAATCGCAAATGACCTGGCGGATAAAAAAGATACACATGGGATGGTCCAGCGCTAGAGTTTCGCTTCTCCCAGCAAGGAGACTCCAATGCTATCGGTGCATGGAGTATGGACATGTTAGACTCGAATGTAAGAGCCCCAACGACCGAAGCATGGATTGCTATAGATGTGGAGGAAAAGGTCTCATGGCACGGAATTATATTAACACTGCCAAGTGCGTGATATGTGAAGCCGCGGGTGCCCCTTCGAATCATCGAATGGGAGGCAGAGCCTGCGATCCTAAAGAACGAGAGAGACCTCAAACAAAAGGATAAACTTCAAAGGAACAAGGCACAGATTTCAATAGCGAAGGAGACCTCTTAAAATATAAAGAAGAGGGGTGGCCCTAATGAGGTAAAATCGTAAATGGACAAGAAAAGGACCCAGTCACAGAATGAATCTGATAACAATATGGAGATCTCCAATTGGTCGGATCCTACGACGAGAAATAGGTTTGCATCTCTTGAAGACGAACAGACTCCTATGGATGTCGAGGCAATTGGGACTCAGAACTCGCAAGAGCCCCTATCTTTAAGGGATGGCGATACAACGCAGGGGCCTACAAACGCCCTTTTCGCAGACTCTCAGGATCCACCGTTAGGGTTGAAATCCCTAGAATGGGCAAAAGAAGGAGAGGCTCAAACCAACACCTGGCAAGAGACCTCTGTAGAGACGGAGCATAATAAGCTGGCAGCAGACACTGATGGAATTACATCCTACAGGCCAATCTTAATAGAGCGAGAAAAGCTCATGACATCCTTTCCCAGGCTATGATCGCTCACGATGCGGGCTTAGCAATAATCTCCGAACCAAATAAGATTCTAGACCACCCATACTGGGCGGGTGACCAGATCGGAGACACTGCGATTATATGGAGAAGAAGCAAACATCCACTCCCGTTCACTAAGGTTGGCTCAGGCAAAGGCTATGTGACAGTGAAGTGGGGAGAGATATACGTTACAAGCGTATTTTACCCCTAACGCACCTCTAAGCGAATTTGAGGATTTCCTCGAAGATCTGGGAAATCATCTCCAAAATCATTTAAACCACCCTGCTGAGGTGGGGGATGATTTTAATGCAAAGTCAACCTTATGGGGTGAAAAGATCACAAACCCAAGAGAAAGAACCTTTGAAGAATAGGCCCTATCGCTGGCCCTACACTGTGCCAACTCGGGTGAAAATCACACCTGCGTCACGTCTTCTGGCCAATCCATCGTGGACATCACGTGGATTACGTACAGTCTACGAAACAGAGTCTCCAATTGGGAGGTTCTCCAAGAGGAAACCCAGATCATCTCTTCATCAAGATGCGAATAGGTTTGTATAAAGCACAGGAACGAAGACATGTGTGGCGTTTCCCTAGTTACTTCCTAGTTACTTTTTAGTTTCAGTTCCTGCCACCGCGGCGCGCTAAGCGCAGTACAGCCTTTCTTTACTTAGCGTGTAGAAACTCTATATACTTACCTTTCCTTATGTACTAATATACTATTTGTTCTCGTTACCTCGTGGAAATTATTATTAAAGATTATATATACAGAACGCAAAGTCTTGTTCTATCCGCCTAATCGCTTTTCCATCATAAAATATCCTCTGCTATCGAGTGAGATCAATTTCTCCAACGACGTAGCAAAGTACGCCACAATTGGTGACCCCGACGTGATATCGTCAAAATGTCGTTGGATCACTCGCCACCGAGAGGTACCGCGCCGAGCACGATGGGCAAAGGCACGCAGCCTGAAATGTTAGAGCAAGCCTACGGCGGCGAAGGAGCCGTTCTAGGGCCCCCACTGATACAGGCGACGCAAAGAGTCAAGTTACCGCCATTCTGGAACGACAATCCATCCTTGTGGTTCGCGCAGGTCGAGGCTGCGTTCAGTATCTCCAGAGTCGTCGCCGACGAAACGAAGTTCAGGTACGTCATCGTTAACCTAGAACCCTCGATCTTACCAATCGTTGCAGACATCCTGACGAGCCACCTCTCGAAGGAAAATATCTAGCCATAAAAAACAGAATTATCAATACTCTCGAGGGGATTAACCAGTCGAGGTTAAGGAAACTCTTGCGCAGCCACGAGATCGAAGACGATAAACCTTCCGTTTTTCTCCAACGACTGCGTCATTTGGCTGGAGGTCACTGTACCGATTCCGTTCTACGCACGCTATTTCTAGAACAGCTTCCTGATAGCGTGAGAGCAGTGCTAGCTATATCAGATGGGGAAGACTTATTTAAGTTAGCGTTACAAGCTGATAAAGTCATAGAACTATATAAACCATCCATTTCAGCACTCGCTGTTGCAAGCTCCCCACAAGCAGCCGATTCCATAGACCAACAAATCGCCGAGCTCAGAACCACGATCGAATCTGTCTACACGATTGCGTTCCAGAAGCCGCTCACGCGGTAGAAGAAACAGATTCCAGCGGAAGAGATCCTCATCACGCCAGCACAAGGTCGACAAGAGCGAGCTGTGCTACTATCATGCAAGGTGTGGCAGCGAGGCTAGGAAGTGCCAATCCCCTTGCTCATGGCAAAAAAATAAGCAGCTGGAAAACTAGAAACGCTCTTCCAGTCACAGGCGTCCGGGAGCAGCGTCACCAACAAGAACCGCCTATTTCTCAGAAATCGTAAGACAGGAGAAGTCTATCTTGTAGACACAGGAGCCGACATATCAGTGATTCCAAAACGTTATGCCAAATCCAAATACCGATCAGATTTTAAACTTTTTGCAGTAAACGGCACAGAAATTCGGACCTTTGGAGACAGAACTCTTGACCTGAATCTTGGCTTGAGACGTCAATTTACATGGAAGTTTATTGTCGCCGACGTTCGACAGCCAATTTTAGGCGCCGATTTCCTTACACATTATAAGTTACTCGTCGACGTGGCAGACCATCGCCTCCTAGATGTAACTACGCATCTCCATGCTCAAGGCAGAGTGAGTAGAACAAACACACCTACCCTTTCCACGATAAATCATAATTGCAAGTATTACGATTTGTTTAAAGAATACTTAGATATTACAAGATCCGGCCCGCGCAAAGAAAATACACACGACGTTCAGCATTATATTACAACTAAAGGCGCTCCCGTAGCAGAACGCGCGCGACGTTTGCCTCCGGATAAATATCGTTCCGCAAAAGCCGAATTTGAGTTAATGCTTCGTGAAAGCCTATGCAAACCATCTTCTAGTCAATGGGCATCGCCCCTTCACCTCGTTCCTAAAAAATGATGGTTGGCGTGCATGCGGCGATTATCGTCGCCTTAACACGTTAACGATTCCAGACAGATACCCTTTAAGGCATATTCATGATTTTTCCTACGCATTGCACTCTTGCAAAGTATTCTCAAAGCTCGATCTTGCGCGCGCCTTCTATCAAGTACCTGTCGCAGTAGAAGACCGTCCAAAAACAGCAGTAATTACTCCATTCGGACTCTTCGAATTCAACGTAATGACCTTCGGACTTAGAAATGCTGCCCAAACGTTTCAACGTCTAATAGATACCGCTTTAAGAGGTCTAGATTTTTGTTACCCATATATAGACGACATTTTAATCGCTTGATCTAGTCACGAAGAACACACCAAGCACCTACGTATAGTCTTCGACCGATTACGCAAATATGGCCTTTCAATTAATTACTATAAATGCGTCCTTGGCGTTGAACAAATAAACTTCTTAGGATATCACATCAGCGAGTTTGGTACTCAACCTCTCAAAGACCGTGTCACTGCCATTCAAAACTACCCGAGGCCTAAAAATTTGCAAGATCTTTGTAAGTCTGTCGGAATAATCAATTTCTACCGTAGATTTATTAAAAACGCAGCTCACGTTCAAGCTCCTTTTCATGCAATCCTCGCTGGCACCAAGGAAAAAGATAAAACGAAAATCAATTGCACAAAGGAACTAGAAGACGCATTTGAGAAAACCAAGCAGCAGCTTGTCAATACTTCCCTTTTAGCTCACCCGAGATCCAACACCGTTCTAGTCCTATCCACAGACGCTTCAGACTTTGCAATGGGCGCTACTCTCGAACAGTTTATCAATAACTTGGCAACCACTAGGATTCTACTCCAAAAAGCTTACTTCGTCACAACGCAAATACAGCACATACGATCGAGAACTTCTCGCAATATATAGCGCATTAAAATTTTTCAGACACCTACTCGAAGGACAAGAATTGCTCATTAAAACGGATCACAAACCTCTCATTCACGCTTTTCAACAGAAATCCGAAAAAGCGACTTCTAGACAATCACGTCATCTCAATTTCATTGCACAATTTACCACTCGAATAATTCACATCGCCGGAAAAGAAAATCTTGTACCTGACTCACTTTCGCGCATTCAAATCATTGACATGCTCGTGATAGTTACCACTGAAGAACTCAGTCAAGCTCAACTAGATGACGATGAGCTCAAGGAACTTCTACGTTCCAACTCTTCATCCCTAGATCTTCGGAAGTTACACTTCAGCGACTGCAACGTAACATTATACTGTGATATTTCGGATAAAGACGTCAGACCATACATTCCTCAGCAATTAAGACGTCAAATCTTTAACACCGTCCACAATCTTGCTCACCCCAGTGGAAAGACAACTCGCAAGTTAATCGCACAACGATTCGTATGGCCGTCAATGCGTAAAGACATCACCGAATGGGCACGCACATGCCTCACTTGTCAGCGAAACAAGATCC